CTATGATTGAGATGTAAACTGAATAAATTAAAAAAATTAAAAATTTACAAAAATAAAAATAAATTAGAAATGCCAACTACAGTCATATACTTCGTATGGCTTATTACTAGGATTTAAGAGATTAACATATGTAAGAAGTTTAATGATGCAAAAAAAGAACTATTATTGTTATTCAAACCATTTTTTCAAGCCATGAATAAAGTTACTCAGTTCATTCTCATATTAAAGAAAAAATAAAAGAATAGAATGAGGCCTTTATCCAAACATCTCATGTAGAGAAAAAAGCAGAGAATTATAATTCTAAATAATTCTTTGGTTAAAAAAAAGCATATTATGATGGAAATCACAAGGTTCTTGAACCTGAATAGAACCAAATAAATATAACATATCAAACTCTGTGGTATTTTTAAAATTGTGTTTTATTTTATGGATAGCAATACAATTTGTATATTAAATCATGCTATAATAGAATGATCTGATATATTTTAAAGCAGAGCTTTTATTAAAATAATCAGTTTTTTTTCTAAGTGGGCCAATATGGCAAATGTATTAAAGAATTATGGTATATGTGAGATTTGATGCTGGAAGAAAATTCAAAGATAAATTTGCTAAGTACAGCCCCAAATGAAGCCAGCTTTTTAATTAAGGAAACAGTGACAGAATAAAGAATAGAAGCTTGTAACTAGTAACGATAAAGGCATCTGGAGGAAATTCTAAACTTTCCTAAGTGCTAGATATGGCTATTTTCACTAGGGCTGGTTACTCAATATTTCTGCTTCTGGGCAAATGCTGATGTTGGTCTTTCTCAGCCCTTGGAGAAATCTATGTGCATGAGATTTGCTGTGGCTGATGAAGTGGAAAAAGGAGAGTGTGTTTTCTTTATGGATGGAGAATTGACTGGATTCTCCTCCCTCCTGGCCTGCTGACGAGCATTAATCCAGAGGTGTTTGTTTGTCTCATTAGCCTGCTGGAGCCAAGCCTTTAGGCTCCTGTGGTAGGTAAGCAAATTGGTCAGAACTACAGGATGCTGGTTGTGAACTGGGCCTTGTTTATTGAAGCAGTAGCTGTGTCTAGTATAGGCATAGCTGTTTGCTCACAAGGAGACTTGGAATTCCTGGAGACAGTTCTGATTGTCTTCATTGTATGGCAAAGTGCTGTTGACAAGTGGGTGAGGGCTGAAATTAATACTAAATATTCTACAGTTGGATTGGGTTCTATTGCTATGACAAGACATCATAACCAAGCAACTCTTCATTCAAACATGATATTTTTAATTAATTAATTTACATCCAGATTGGAGATTGAAGCTTCCCCTCCCTCTTCTCTTCCCAGGTCCTCCCTCTCACTTTCCCTCACCACTATGTCTCCCTTCCTTTCTCTTCAGAGAAGGGAAGACCTTCCATGGATATCAACCTGCCTTGGCATATCAAATTGTAGTAGAACTGGATGTATCTTCTTCTGTTGAGGATAGACAAGGCCTTCCAGTTAGAGAAAAGGGATCCAAAGCCAGGCAACAGGGTCAGAGACAACCCTGCTCCTGCTCTTAGAGGTCCCACATGAGGACCAAGCTGTGCATCTATTATATATGTTTAGAGGGTCTAGGTCCATCCCACATATGCCCTCTGGTTGGTCGTTCAGTCTCTGTGAGCCTCTATGGGCCCAGTTTAGTTCATTCTGTAGTTTTTCTTGTGGTGTCCTTGACCTCTCTGGCTCCTTCAATTCTTCCTTTCTCTCTTCTAAAAGATGCTCTGATCTCTGCCTGTTGTTTGGCTGTGGGTCTCTGCATCTGTTTTCATCAGCTGCTGGGTGAAGCCTCTCAGAAGGCTGTTATGCTTGCCTCCTGTCTGCAAGTATAGCAGGATATTATTAACGGTGTCAGGGGTAGACTCTCTTTTATGGCATGGGAACTCAAGTTGGGCCAGTCATTGATTGGCCATTCCCTCACTTTCTTTATTTCTGCACCTCTGATAGCAGGGAAAAATTGTGGGTCAAAGGTTTTTGAGGCTGGGATGGTGTCCCCATCCCTTCATTGTTTACAGGAGGTGACGTTTTCATGTTCCATATTCCCTACTACTACTATGAGTCTTAGCTAGGGTCACCCTCATAGATTCCTGGGAGTTTCCATTGTACTAGATTTTTATCTTGTCTCAGAGATACCTCCACAATGCTTCTAGTTCTCTCCCACCATCCACTATCCTCCCCACACTTGATCCCTCCTGTTTCCTTCCTACCCCTTACCCTTCCAATTCCCTCCCTCTACTCCAGATGTCTATTTCCACTTCTCATTGAGATTCAAGCATCCTGCCTTGGGCCCTACTTGTTACTTAGCATCCTTGGGTCTGTGGATTGTACCATGGTTATCCTGTACTTTATGACTAATATCCATTTATAAGTGAGTATATACCATGTTTGTCTTTCTGGGTTACCTCACTTAGAATGATCTTTTCTGGATCCATCCATTTGCCTGCAAATTTTAAGATGTCTTTGTTTTTCATATTTCATTGTGTAAATGTTCCATATTTTCTTTATCCATTATCAGTTGAAGGACATCTATATTGTTTCAAGTTTTTGACTATTATAAATAAAACTGATATGAATATAGTTGAGCAAGTCCCTGTGATATGGTAGAGCATCTTTCTTTTCTTTTCTCCCTTCTTCCCTTTTCTTATTCCTTTTTGAGAAAGGGTTTCTTTATGTAGCCTTGGCTGTTCTAGACTTGCTTTGTTGACCAGGCTGGCCTCAAACTCACAGAGATCTGCCTTCCTCTGTCTCTCGGTATGGTGGAGCATCTTTTGGGTATATGCCTAGGAATGGTATAGCTGGGTCTTGAGGTAATCTAGTTTCAGTTTTCTGAGAAACCACCAGATTGATTTTCAAAGTGGTTGTACAAGTTTATATTCCCACAAGCAATGGAGGAGGCTTTCCCTTTCTCCATATACTTTTTAGCATGTGCTGTCACTTGAGGTTTTGATCTTAGCCATTCTAACTGGAGTAAGATGGAATCTTAGAGTTGTTTTAATTTGTATTTCCCTGATGACTAAGGCTGTTGAACATTTCTTTAAGTGCTTTTTGGTCATTAAAGATTCCTCTGTTGAATTCTTTGTTTAGGTCTGTGCCCCATTTTTTAATTGGGTTGTTTGGTTTGTTGCTGTCTAATTATATATTTTGGGTATCAGGCTTTTGTCAGATGTAGGGCTGGTGAAGAAATTTTTCCATTCTGTAGGCTGCTGTTTTGTCCTTTTTGTTAGTCTGTTTTTGGATTTTCGAGACTGGGTTCTTTGTGTAGACTTGGCTGTTCTGGACTCACTTTGTAGACCAGGCTGGCCTTGAATTTACAGAGATCTGTCTGCCTCTATGTCCCTGAGTGCTGAGATTACAGGTGTGTGCCACCATACCCAGCTCATTTGTCTTTTTGTGGGTGTCTTTTGCCTTACAGAAGCTTTTCAGTTTCATGAGATCCCATTTATTAATTTTTGATCTTAGTTCCTGAACTGTTGGTCTCCTGTGCCAATGTGTTCAAGGCTATTCCCCCCTTTTTCTTCTGTCAGATTAATTTATCTGTTTTTATGTTGTAGTCTTCATTGTATTGGAGTTTTTCTTCTAGTATCCTCTGTAGGGCTGGGTTAGTGGATAGATATTGTTTAAATTTGGTTTCGTTATAGAATATCTTGTTTTCTTTATCTATGGCAATTGAAAGTTTTGCTGGGTATAATAGTCTGGGCTGGCAGCTATGGCCTCTTAGACACTGCAAGACATCTGCCCAGACCCTTCTGCCTTTAAGGTCTTTGTTGGGAAGTCTGGCATAATTTAAATAGTTCTGCTTTTATATGTTATTTGGCCTTTTCCCCTTGCATCTTTTAGTAGTCTTTGTTGTTATTGTTCTGTGCAATGATTCTTAAAATTTTCTGTTCCAATGGATTTCCCACTAATTTTCCTGATAACATCCAGTCTTACTATATGTATTCTCTCCAGTGAAATGAGGGAAAGGTCAAGTAAGGTCCAATGCTCAGACTACTAGGTTAAAGAAAAATTGTCACTCCATTTGTTCAAGATTCAAGTATCACTGAGGACCTGCATCCTAGATATTTCTGGGTAATTATCTCTACGAGAGTCTGGTGGCTCTTAAATGGCCTGTGGTTATAACTACTTCTCTCTCTTGATCTTTTCTCTTATCTATCTTCCTGTGCCGCAGCAATAGACATGCAGCAGGAGTCTGCTGTACTCTCTTTCTACTTTTTCTTCTCCCATGGGACAGCAGTTAGGTTCTAGGTTACCCTACGGCAGTGGTTCTCAATGTTCCTAATGCTGTGCCACTTTACTACAGCTTCTCGTATTATGATGATCCCCACCATAAGATTATTTTTATTGCTACTTCATAACTGAAATTTTGCTACTGTTATGAATCAAAATATAAATTTCTGTGTTTTCTCGTGGTCTTAGGTAACCCCTTTGAAAAGGTTGTTTCACCTCCAGAGAGGTAATGATGCAAAGGTTCAGAACCACTGTCCTATGGACTATAGCCAAGATCACCTTGATGCCAGATATAGCAAAAAAGACACGACCTTTCATCCACCAGATTTTGGCTGTGTGGATTTAATCCACATCCGCCAGGTATGACAGGTCACATAAATAGGCAAAAATGATGTTCCCCATGGTCTAGTCTAGCAGTTGAATGTCTATTAGCCACCCTATGAGCTCACTCAGTGGCATTTATTCTCTTCCCCAATTCATTCGAGATGAGCACTTTCTACTTACTATGAGTATAAGCATTTTATATTAATTATATCATTTATTTCTCAGAAACACAATCTTAAAACTGATATTATTATTTTTATTGCATATACAAGGACCATGGAGAGCAGAGGATTTAAGAAACTTGATGGTACACATGACAAATATAAACCAGACCATGTTACTCACCTTCCCAGACTGTTCTTTTAACACTTAGGCTATTTTGCTGTCCCAGGTCTTAGATTGTAATCATCTCATTTTTCTTTCAGAGTAATGGTGAGAGACACAGGCAAAATAAGGAGCCCTTCTGGGAGGACCTCAGAAGCCCTACCCTCCAGCACTGAACTATTTGTTACTAGTAGATTCAGAGAGCAAGGAATTCATTGCCTTCAGTTGTGGACCCACCAAACACCCCAGCCTACTCCAATGGCCACTTCTGATCCAGTGGTTAAACTGTAAGTCACAAAATAGCCCTTTTCCCCCAAAAAAACCTGAGGAAGGGGCTAATCAGGATGTAGAAAATGTGTGTGTGTGTGTGTATGTGTGTGTAGCCAGAATATTTAGATATGTGTATGAAATTATCAAACAACAAAACTTGATTAGAATATATTTTATGAAAAAAATTTCCATAAAAGAAACAAAAGAAAAGAAAAAAAGATGCCTTCCAGGAAAAACCCAATGTTGCCATTCAGGCTGGTGTGAGCTTCCTGGGTCTTAGAAGGAGCAATTTGAGACACTGGGTGTCAGGATGTATCTTCCACCTTCAGAAGCCCAAGTGGGAAATTGACCTAGTGCAGCCTGTGATTCTTGTTTCTCTGGTGATGAATACAAAGCCTTTGGTAGACCCCCAGGGGACCTCACATAGAGGAGCAAGTGTGTCGGGCTGAATTTGGGAAATTGGTGCTGTAAGCTCCTCAGAATCACAAACCTAAGGTTTCCTTAATTAGAGAGGTGGGCCTCCAATCAATATTCCTGCAGTGCCTTCCTCTGCCATCCGCCTTGCTTTCCAGGCAGCCACTCGAGAGTTTCAGCCGATGACTGTGCAATTCTCCTGGGGGCTGTGCAAGGTAACAGAGAGGGAGAAAGAGTGTAATTTGTTGGCCTGTTCTACAGGGCTGCTAAAGGCACTGGATCACATTCATCAAAGCCAGCTTAGTTCTCCCAATTTTATATTCAGGGATGTGCCCTCCCGCAGGAAGTCACAGAAATCCCGGAACAATGGTGTGGACATTGTTAGAAATTTAAATTTGTTTTCTTTGATGACAATGAGAGAATATCTTCAAGTAAGTAACCCTACTGTCATGAGATGTGAACTCTGCTCACTTGTCTGTGACCTGCTTCTAAGAAATACACAAGAATGTGAGGAGAAAGGAAGGATTATTCCTATTAATTTGGGAATCAAAAATAAACTTAACTTTTGCATTCCTATTTTCTACCCTTCCCAGTGAAATAGGATGAAGAAAATAAAATTGAACAACAACAAAAATGCTTTTCTATTCTTTTGAGAATACAGTGTTGAGGACTTAGAATTCATGCACTGTTATCCACAAGATGCAGACACAGTATTTATAATTTACAGAGGAAAATTGAGATTTGAGTGGCAAAACCAATGGGCCATTGTTTTAGAGGCTTTGAACTCTGGCCTCATTCACTCTGGAGCCCCTTCTCTGAGCCATTGATTTGAATAACATTCATAAAATTTGGAATTCCCACTTCAGATTTGATTAATCGGGATTCTCTTATAATCCCTGCCTCCGCTGCTATAAAACAGAACTGACTTGTCTCAAGACACGGTTGAAATGGTTCATCTAGACTGTGTTGACAAGGATAATGTAATTATAGCAATTTGGGGGAATACTCAGACCCCCCAAAGTAAATATTATTGAGGAAAGATAAGTTTGGAGCCCCAATTAGCTTCATTGGATCAGTTTCACCTGCTGGATGTGTAACTCTCCAGTTCCCTGCCCTTATACAAACACAGCTGGCTTATACCCACATACGCTCCAGTACCCCAGAATTCAGAGTAAGGAGGAAGTTCTTATGGAGAGGTCTGGAAGCCATGTTTATCATCTTGTCCCTTGCCGCCTCATCTTAGGGCCACATATTTATTTAGCATAAAACTAGATAGAAAAATATAAGTTGAGCTCAATGGTTTCTTTATAATCTGATGGAAAAAAACTCCGAGAATTCACCTCAAAAGAACTATATCAATTAAAGGGAAGAAAAATTCCCAAAATATTTTTTCTTCTGAGCTATCTGCCGTTGTTGGTTGAAACAGATGAGGTGGTGTATAATTTTAGCATCTCCTGGTCTTGCAGTGTAAATATTCTAGAAATAGCTAGCACTCTGTGTAAAAGGATCTGGTCCAACACTGAGGAATAATATTGTTCCTCTTGATAGTGACCATTGAGAAAAGTGTCAGGAGTTACCATGAGGAGAAAGGCAAATGGAGGGTATTTGGAGGGAATAGAGGCAAGTTCATACACTTCCAGCTTTAGGTTTGAGACTGAAATCCAATAGCTGTCTGCTGAGGGACTTGCTTGGTGCGAGAGAGGTGGGCCTTGAGGTGAGGCCCTCATGCAACCCTGCTGTCGGTGTTGACTCTCAGAGATTTCATCATCTGAGGTGAAAGCAGGTGAACTGTGGAGGTCAGCATGGTGTGTGTTTAAATAACAACATCAACAACAACAACTATTTTTTGTGCAACTGACTAATTGAAATTTCCCCAATGCTAATGATAACACAGGCAAAGGAGGCAGCCAGTTAAATTAGGAGGAGCAAATAGATTTCCTTTCTCATGACAATACTCACTGATTGATAGGGTTGGTTTGGAAAAGATTGAGATCAATGTTGACTTGATTGGTGATCAAGTTGTAGACACCTAAGGGGAAGACTAATGATGAGAACTGGACATATTTGATATCCCTGATGTAGATTATGTTGTTTGAACCATAACAAAGGCCGTGTCTCCTACAGATAGCTTCTTTACCATTTGTCTCCAACAACTGAAAGTTGTCTCTTATTTACTACATGGCCTGTATTATTTACAAAGAATAATAAAGTGAACCTGCATAAAATTCTCAGCATAGGCAGTAAGTAATGAGGAGAGTGAGGTTTGCTCTTTAGAAATTGATCTAGGTGCTTCAGACTTTTAAGTATAAGCAGCTAACCCTTGTGTTTCTAGGAACCCTTCTTGGCTTTCTAGTGAGAGCAATTATACCCTTCTTTATGATTCTGTGAGACATCTTTCCCGAGAAACCAGAGAAATACTTAAGGATCCGGGAAAACAGGGGCCTGGAGAATTGGAAACACAGACCTAGCATCAACTTGACTGTGATCCATGCTGGCACCATTTCCTGCTTCTTCCACAGCCCCCTTTAGTGAAGAGCATCACTAAAGATCCATTTCCTAAAGGGGGTTACATTTTACTTTTATTAAAAATTAACCCAGAACCGGCAAGACTGACTTAACATGTAAAGGTGCTTACTACCAGACAATGGACAATGTAAGCCTAATGACCCGAGTTGGAGCCCCAGAACCTAAGTAGAGATGTAAGACGAGAACCAACTCCTGAAATGTTGTCCTCTGACTTCCAGACATGCACAGTGGCAGGTGCCTCTCCTCCCCACCAGAATCATGTACACACATATACACACAATGATGATGATGATGATGGTACTATAACTCAACCAGTGGAGGTGCTTGCCTGTCATCCCAGTAATGGTGATGCTCAGGTTGAAAACAATGAGTCAGCTTAGGCTAAATAGTGCAGCCTTTCTCAACAAGGTAGACAACATTTTTGGTCTTTTAAACCTCCTTATAGACAATGTATCTATGGATGGATAATTAAGATTTTTGTTTATTTTTGTTTTCTTTCTTGTTTGAGACAAACAATATCTCACTATTTAGCCCTAGGTTAGCCCTAATCCCTGAACCTTCAATCATCCTGCCTGTTATCCTAGTGATTAGAGGTCTTCAGTATCATGTCTGGTGGGTGCTTGGCTATTACAAGGCTAAGAAGAGATGACACTGTAGCCAGGTGGGCTTTTACCATCTTAAGTGAGCATATTTGCACAGTGCTAACACTGTGACCTGTTTAACAACAAGTTGTTATTATAAAATTGGCCATAGAAGGAACATTTACATATATGGGAAATTGCCAAAACATTCCAGCCTCCCCACTCACAGTTCAATGTTGAGTAGTATGCCGTCTGTGCTGACCAGTTTTACATCAACTTGACACAGGTTAGACTCTAGCCCCTAGAGTCATTTGGAAAGAAGGAAACCTGAATCATCAAGAAAATGCTTTCATAAGAACAGGCTGTAAGCAAGACTGTAGGGCATTTTCTCAATTAGTGATCAATGGGGGAGGGCTCAGCCTATGGTGATTGGTGCCACCCCTGGGCTGGTGGTCCTGGGTTCTATAAAAAATCAGGGTGAGCAAGCCATGAGAAAAACAAGCAAAACTCCTCCATGGCCTCTGCAACAGGTCTGGCTTCTAGGTTCCTGCACTGTTTGAATTCCTGTCCTGAGTTTCTTTGACGAGGAACAGTGATGTGGAAGCATAAGCTTAATCAACCCTTTCCTCCCCAACTTGTTTTTGGTCATGGGGTTTTATTACAAGAGTAGAATCCCTAATTAAGACACTATTTTCCAATAGGGCACATGACCTGCTCAAGATCACACACTAAAGTTTGAAGTGTTAGATTTGAAGTTGGCTCTCTCTGCTTGGAGCTGCAATCACACTGAATAAGAGAAAAATGAACTTGAACTTCCCAATGCCTGGTGATCTCCAGCCCTAGAACATTCCAGGTCAAAGCTCTGTTAGCAAAGTCTGCCTGCTGGTCCCTGGACTTCTCTTTCAGAGTGTTTGGATTTTCACGGCTAGGGTCTTGACAATCCCTCTGCCTCCATCATAAAGCTAATTTTTATGTTTTTCTGATAAATTGTAAAATATGATCTATCTCTGAGAGAGATCGAACCTAGGGTTTCACAGTGGCTAGGCAAACACCCTACCAATGAGCTGTACCCCAAGACCCCTTCTCCTGCCCTTTCTTTTTCACTTTGTATTTTGAGGTAGGAGATCAGAAAGTTGCCCAGATGGACCTGAAACTTTCTCTGAAGCCCAGGCAGGTCTTGAACTTGAGATCTTTCAGCTTCAGCACCTGGTGTAGTTTGGATTACAGACCTGTGCTACCATCTTTTGCTTTGAGTGGAGCTTTAGAGAGTGAAAAAATAGCCATCCACTTAGAAGTGAGCAGCGTCAACATTTTGTCACTGTGTTCTGA